AAGAACGAAACAAGAGACCCAGGTCGATCCACTGTCTAGTAAATGATGAGATCCTACATTGTTCACTCTTTCGCATCTACCACTATGCTCTTTGCCCTTGTATTCCATTCTCAGTTCTGATTCAACGATGAGCAGAAGTGTCGTTTGTTGACCGGTGTCATTTTCTGCTAGATTCTTCCTCTGAGGTATCGTTTCCCTTGAATAGTAACCCTTTGGCTACTGAAAGCAATAGTTATACAAACTTGTACAGCCATAGCTATAGTCTACCATAAATTGCATACATTTTTGGTCCCACGCGCATAATAGAACGCTGGACACTGATGTAAAGATTTCTTGGAAAACAGATTTAGATCAGTGGCTAGAAATGCCAGTCTGACTCTTTTGCCAGCTCAGATCAAGCTGTCTTATCTGTCCGAGCGAGAACAATTAACGGTACGCACATATATAATAATGCAATATAAGACAACGAAAAAAAATAGCAGCCGCCATGACTCGACTAGGATGAAACGCTTTGCGATTACGAAAGCTGTTTCTATTACGGCGTCGTGGGCACGATGGTGTTACTGCAGATAATTCTAACAGTGAATATAGATAATAGAAGAAGAGGTAGGGGAACAGGTCGTTCGCTGCTCGTGCACGCATTCTATCATGTACGCGATAGAACTTTACATCGTAACACATTTGCCGGAGATGCAATGTTACGAGCCCCTTTTTTTACGTCAAGATCCGCTTAGATTACAGGGTCCGCCCAGACGAATGATATCGTTGTACAATCATATAGTTTTTTAATACTGTAAAAGAAAGTGTTTGAACGGAGAGGCACAAGGCGACAGCTGGTGCTCACTGTTAATTGAATGAATGATAGGATGATTTTAGTCGCTTTGGAAATTACTCTTTTGTGACGCATCGACGCGTCGTGCCGTTATGAAAACATCGCTTTACAACCCGTCATCGCCGCACCCCTAGTACTACGGTGTGGTCGCTGCAAATCTAAACAACATCGTCGGGTCATTACGAAACGCGCTAGTAGCAAGTGAAACATGGCACTGGAAATTATTGTCGGCATTATTTTCCAGATCGCGTGTAGCTCTGATGGCACTGTTTATTAAGCAGTTATGAGTAAGGGTTGCAGTCAACACATATCGCTAGTACAAGACAGATGCCATACTCAGTATTCTATCTTGAATGTCTATCGATATTAAAAAAAATCATAGCTAAAGGCTAATGAACGAAATGTTTGGGAGATTTCATCAACGATCCACCTCTCGTCGTCAATATGACTATTAAGGAGATAATCTGAATATCCGCTGTCGGAGAACTTCGAGTAAGCACACTGTGCTCGTCTGTCTGCATCGTGTATCTCTGCCAAAAGCTGTTCAAAGACGGCAGAGTCAGAAGCAGAATGGTGAAGATTTGTTCAATCAAAATTATATGTACGTCCCTTCGTAAGAACGACTTCTAGTTAATAACTGAGAGATCATTTCTACGCCACAGTCGAAAATGAGATCTTAACGTCCGTTAGATGCCTATCTCATTACGCAACTCCTCTGTGCCAGACAGAGAGGTTTTTGCCTGTAATCTGTCAGGTGTGGCCTGATTTACGGCTGTTTAGTCCCTGCTGTTGCCGCTCCCAATAACTAACGGACGCTCTTCGGAGCAATGACGATTCAAATTTGCAACGTCGTTTAGGTTTATGATCGATTGGTGTTTCACCTGCGCTGTTCGAGGAAAAAGTTCGATTGCTTGATTCCGTTCGTTCGTTCGTTCGTCTGCCTCCTTCTTATTTAATATTTCCATTCATCCATATCGTACTGGTAACGCCGTGGCGGAGCACTAAGCTTAGCAACGAAACGAAAAAAATACACTATCGAAATATAATGAGACATGCTATGAAGTTATAAAAACATATGACGGCTAGAAGAAATCTAGCCTCTGATTGACCACTAGTTTGTTTGAAGGCTAAGGAGAAGGCGATATCGGCATCGGCCAGACTGCGCCCCCGTCGGTTCATCACAGCCGACATCTTGCTCTCTGCCAGCCAACTGAACGTGAATGAATTCAACATCGGGTCACCGGCGAAGTGAGCTCACAGTCTCTTACAAAGAGCTTATACCTGTAAACAAGCATCTCAGAGGAAGTGAACGTTCTGGCCAAGAGGCAGCCTGTAAAAGGAGCGGCAGTAACACGAAAGACTATTGACAATGGCAAAATCTCCATTGGACTACCTCTTACCCCGTGCGCCGGCGCGGACGGGGAAATCTTAACCGTCCTAACATTTTTTGGATATACCAAAAGTCCACTCGACTCAGTGGTCGATTGTTAATCACTAGACAACGTAATTCTTTTGCCCAGACGGGACGTTTGTATCGGTAAACCGTTGGCGTTAATTTGATAGATCATAAAAAGAGGATCGATAGACATTTGAGACAGCACGAAAACGCAAAGGCAACAGTGGTCAATGGTAATAGCTGGCCGAACAGGCCGCTGGTATAGTACCCATTGTAACGCTCAGCATTTTTCCAGTTGGTGTAAATATTAGTTCTCTTTGGAAAGTAAGTAGGCAACAAGGAAATGCTACCGTGTTTGACCTGCAAAAGATACGAGATGAAGGAGCAACTGATGACTGTCGTAAACACGGTCTAGCTCGGGAATTCGCTTCTTGCATTGATTATGAACGTTATTTAACTGTATCTGTCTATCATTTTTCACCCCTCACGCGGTTCTCGATTACAAGTTAACCACGACTCGTGAATCAATGATTTCTGAAGATTACGGAGTACACGGTAAAAATGCAAGTATGTGGGTGGGGTGGTATATGGTTCAAAATGCGGATGGCGAACCTCGACATATCCGAGCGGCAGGCAGTGACGTGCACGGTAGGATGGCCCGATGGAAGCGATGAACGAGTAACGATAGATCGACGACACAGCCTGTGATAGCACGTTGATGCCTTTGCAGAAGCCATCTTTTTTCTTCTTGTTCGTTTTATTTGAATTTTCATATTTCGATCTGAGAGAAAAAAGGAAACAATAATGATAAAACACAACTATAGGCGTAGTGTAGGAAAGCCACCGAAACAAAAATTGAAAGATGAACTTGTGACATACGTCACGCATCGGACAACAGCCGTCGCCAATCAAAATATGTTCAGTAAAAAGTTAGCCGTAACGTAATAACTGAAAGACTTTACGGATTAACTGAACGTTCAGATAAATCAAAAGCACTTATCGAAACCATTGGGAATTATTGCGCATGCTATAGTCATCCGATAAAAACAATGTCGATATATCAGCGTGTACGGACTAGTGGAGATAGAGAGAGAAAAAAAAGGAGCTCTAGATAAAACTTTTACTTTTTTTTTTTGCTCCATGAATTTAGAGGAGTAATTTTTAGTGTTTCCGCCCAGTTTCGCCGTCGGACTACGCCGTGGACGCCGCAACAGACGTACAAATCAGTGTAAGCTAAAGACGGCTCATACAAGTTAAAGTCAAATTGAAAATAAGGTATAGGGATTTAACGTTCTTCATAATAATTAAGATATCAATTTTTCGTTACATCGTGAGCTAAATCAACTCCTATGCTACAGTAATTTTATTACATATGCATAATTATTTTAATCGCGATCCGACGAGAACTAGACAATATTTGAACTTCCAGACACCTAAACTACCATTGATTTGCTGTCTTTCCCTTTCTTTATAGGTACACCGATATTGTAAGCAATACTAAATAGGACCTTATCTACCACACAGTGTCGTCTAGTTTCCATTTTTCTAATTTGTCCAACTGAATATAGTTTTGTTTTGAGGGACAAGTTAACGACAAACGAATTAGGTTCACGATCTTTTCTACAGATTCTATAATTCTACCGGGTACCGATTTGTTTCTTCATCTACGCATAGAGTCTCAATGATTTCTCAGCAGATGTGTGACGTCTACTATAACAATAAACGTTTGGTGTGTGCCGCTTCGTATGTAAAGTTATTTTGAGGCGTCAGTAGTTTTACACCCAACTCTAGTAATATGTATAATATATTTGTCGGTACGTTGTTGTAGCGTTACTTACTGATGAAACAACCTTTTCGATCGAGTTGTACTTGAGTGAACCTCGAACGGACCGGGCTGCCCGTGTTTTTCGTTAATACTTAAAGGATGCAGGACTGAAATTTTCTACATATATGTACAATAAATGATGTGTTACATGAAAGTGCCTATCTTGAACAAACGCTGAATAGGCAGCTCCTTATCCGCAGTCCTAAAATGTAGGACATTCGAATTGTTCTTTTTGCTAAAATTTCTTGCTCCAAATGAGTAACGTCACGTAGAAGTATACGCGATGGATTAGTGATATGAGTAAAGAAACAGAACTTTCCCTTTATTTTCAGAGAGTTTTTTTTTTATAATATTTCTGGTGGACATAAAACCATTATTGTACAGCTCAATTAAAACCAATCTGGATATGCTAAAATTGTATTTTTGTAAAAAAATTTGTAGATGTTTACAGCTTTTTGCAGCTTTGCTGAAGTCAGTCGATCGAGCAGACGTTCGTTGGGAAGTTAACTGTCGAGTGCGTTCGATCAATACTTGGATAAGTGTATGTTGTTAACTTCGGACAGGAAAGCCTTCTCAGGGGCGACACGTAAAAAAGAATACCTATTGTTCGCCTTCTTCCTTCAATGTAGGTTATTTAAGATAGACTTGAGTTGTTTATTAAAAAATAGAGATCTCGTGGTGTCTTCCTATCCATTTGTTCGTTTTCGTATTCGGCCTGGCTAATTAGAAAAAAAAAAAACATAGATCGATCGATGAGGTGTTGCACGGTGATCGCCTCTGAGGCGCGGGCTCAGATAGAGCTGGGGTGGAATGACAGATCAGGCGATTTCCTATCATATCGGTATTTCGACAGGATAGACAAAATACACCATGAAAACGATATACATTCTACTGGTTCTTTTAGAACACTTCTGATCGGCGTCTAGCAGAAGTGGCATCTTAAGCCTTTTACTATTGGCGCCAACAGCTCTTCTCGTTTCTTTGTCTAGCCTCTCGTGTTGCCCGCACGTTCAGCCGGAGACGGACGATACCGAAAAAGTGCAGACTCACTGTCTTGGCTCGCCCCTGCTACAAACATTGAAAACTGTTCAAACATAACTAAGCGATTTATCCGTAAGTGAGTAGCAACATTAAGCTTCGGCAATGAAGACGCGCTATTTCCGCTCATTCTTATCACATATTATATACTGTAGCATTAAGCGGTGCGCAACACTTAATCTTTAAAATGCGAGTGTCTAGGTCATAGGTGTTCGACCTTGCGCTGGACTCGGAGATCCGTCGATGATCCACGGCCGCAACGCACGCTTTCCTTCATATCTCTTATAAATAGAAATCTTTCTGTGATGCCCCGTTTAAAGTAAGCTCGTTTTGTTACAAAGCGCATTATGGCACCACGATTTTTTGTTCTTCAATGAAGCAAATTAACACTTTTCACAGCATCTTGTGCCATAGGCCAACACTTAGAATGCAAAAATAGTATCTTTTCAATCAGCTTACATAACGCGTCACTCTGATATATTGATACATCATAGAACTGTGGGTAGTAGAGCTTTACGCGATTCGACAACAAGCTAGTACCGTGAAGTAACAGTACCGTGAAGCTTACACGCCGTCTTCACAGCGACTACAATATAATATAGCAAGACATTGAGTTCGTGAAATCAGTAGGAACCACAGACGTATGTATCTGTGCCGGGCCACATACGTTGTTATATTCGAATGTAACGAAAAAGACAAACTCAAACAAAACTGAAAAAAGCTTCCCAAACATGTGCATATATATAAATATATAGATACTCGTTCCTCTCCTTTCATCGTCTGGCTATCAGCACTGCGAACCACTACCAGTAGCATAAGCACCATCATATCGTAATAATTCTGTCGCAGATGAATCCGCCACAATGAACGACCATAGAAGACACCGAATAAAGATTTCAATCAGACTTTTGCGGTTCATCTTCCACGCATCTATATATATATATATATATAGTGTCAAGGGAAACCACAGAGACGCTGTTAAGGGGAGGGGGGGGGGGCTGTTAATAGTCGTAAAATTTTAATCTGAGGGCACGAGCTGCTAAAGCGACAGGTGGTTACCAAGAGCAACTTTGAATATTTTCCACCATTTCGGGTGTAAAAATGATCATAACAGCTGTGACTATAATGTTGACCTTGTACTTCTCTAGAATTGGTAGGAACGCACTGGCCGTCACCTGTTGTGTAACGTGTTTGACAAGTTGCTACTAGACAACGTCTGTGGTCGGTCTCTTGTCCGCTTACCATACCGAATCTAACACGCTGCCTCTTAGCAGAAAGTCTCTCAGCAGCGGCACACGCTTAATATGTGCGCATTTATTTTAATAGATTAATCAAGAAAGCATACATCGGTTTTTTTTTTTTTTTTTTTTTTTTTGCCTTATTTTCGTCCGAGGCTATTTTTTTTTGAAGGAATTTACAGTATTTCTGATGGTTTTCAGCGACAATCTGAGGATTCGTGTATGGAATGCTATTCTGTGTTACCGAGACAGTCATCAGGTGATCCAAAACATGTTGAAATTGAGGGTGAGTTTAGCTGTCGTTTCTCTCGCCTTATTTACTTACTTTATTCAGTTTTTTCGCATAGCACAAAATGAAAATCAAGGAAAAATGAATTAGACATGAGGCAATACTAGCGAGTTTTGGTGACGACTACAGCACAAGGCAGCAGTGGCAGAATCAAACGTTTTTGGGTCTGCTAAGCAATCTTCTGGGTTGATCCATTATACGTTTATGGAGCAAGCTCAGATTGTGGAAAAACTTGCTTTGGCGCTGGAGCCAGCTGACTAGCTAAGTGAATATTGGCGGTGACAACAACGACACTGATCAGTTTATGAAAATGTACTTTCAGACAATCATCATTTTTCCGATTCCCCGATACTTCACCACCGAGTGACATAATGGTGAGCGCACGTGCGGGTGTCCCTCAACTCTGGCATCTATCTATGCAGTATACATATTGCTACAATATAATGTTTTCGTGGCGCTCTGGAACGACGCCACATTGTTCGGAGCGGCCAAGCACTCTTCGTAAGTTGCTCTAGAACTGCAACCAATCAACTGCAGTCAACCACGCTGCAATGGGTCGGATAAAGATAGCGACCAAAAAAATGAATGGATCAACTGAAAAACGAGCTTAAAATGAAGGACGCATACAGACACGGACGTTTATCATTGTCTGTCAACATAGGCGCATACAGACACCTCACAGTCACATAGTTTACTATGCTTCGTCGTGTCATTGCAATGTTCTTATTTTAGCTTTCGTTATTAGCAGACAAAAGGGCGTTGCTGAACAGGCCAGCACTGGAGTGGCATGCTCCCGTCGTTTATCGGCCTATACCAAAACCCTTCTGCAGCGACTATAGCCCCCCGCCTCCTCGTCCGAATAACATAATCACTGCTTTTACAGATTGATAATGTCACAGAGCAAACACATCGAATCTTGCAGTAATGTCTCAATGGGAATTTCGGTAAGGGTAGGGGCGGATATCCAAAGGAAGCACCAAGACGTCAGCTAGTTCCAGTTTCGGGGCGTGTTCACCTTATATCGGTAAAACGTACTCTATCATAGATAACTAGACCCGCTTGTGACGGTGGGCAATTTACTGACCGCGGGTTTCGCCCAGTCTAACGTCGATTTGGTAATTCAATGTCTGTAACACCAAACGAGCACTAATACTACTTGGAAATGATCAGCTCTCTAGCATCGACGAACGATGCGGGAAAGGTGGCCGTTACTTGCACCAAGTAGTCGTAAACTTTCCGTGTTATTATCATGCAGCAACAAAAATTAACGGCATTTTTTTTCCGTCATGTTGTCGAATCAGTGGCAGCAGATTTTGTTGTAAGTACTAAGATTAGTCTGAACGAACTCAATAAATTATCTTTCTATAGTTGTTTTTTTTTTTTTCTGTATAGCTTGACATTGTATGAAGAAAACATGATACAGATATGGTCTAGTATTCGAAATTGAGTTCAGCCACTTATCAGGAAGTTGTTTCGTATTCTATATTTTTATATAGTGCAGTGAATATATTTTCAGGCGGCGATAGCATTGCGGCCACCGTCCGATTAGAAACGCGGGTCTAGATCGATCCAGCCCGAGCATAATGTAATGATTTATCTCGAAAGTTTAAGGTAGATGTCAGGTGATAATTGTGGCTCTAGCACATTTGATGAGATTTGCATTCTGTGGACGCCTGTAATTGACTAAATTAGATTGATACACGTTAGCTTTGGGTCGGTAATAAACATTGTGAGGCAACGGGTATTGAAAGCGTTAGCTCGTCAAAATCTCTCCCTGCTGCGGTATAACGCTCATCCGTTCAAAGTAAAAGCCCCTCGACAGCTTTTGTCGTCGTTATTCGATGTACCTTTCGATCGGCTGCCGTATGACACATCTAAATCTGCCCTCACTGTGGCGAAGATTCGCTGCCCAGTTCGAACGGAACGGTAGGAACTTCCAAAAAATTTTACTAAATTATCTCGATCCTGTTGCATACTCAGTTAACGTTAACGATTTTGATGATCGGAGAACTTTGTGGCGCATCGATATTGAATGCCGTAGATGGGCGGTTTCGGCTCTATTTTTCACTGTGTTGCTACAAGCTTTTCGTCTTGATGAGTTGAAACTGTCCTCACCGACTTACAGGTCTTCATAATGCTACATGCACGTGTACCTATCCGAGAAACTTTCAGAGTTCGCCTAGCCATTAAGTCATCAGTGTCAAGAAAACATTAGATTTTAATGGTCATAGAACGCTAACGACTTGCTGGCTGAAAAAGCCAATCAGAGACGTCGAATATCTCGTTGGGCTGGTTTAGGTGCAACGAGCACTTAAGGGAGACGCATTTAGCTCGTCAGTGTTCGCGCTATCCGTGGAACTCGGAAATCGTCTCCCCCGTCTCCTATCTGTGACTCGCTATCGGTCGACGCGTATCGAATATGCTCTTTCGTGTACGAATGTCAGTCATTTCTTCGAGCTTTACTTCTGCAACGATTGGTTGTCCGTTTGGGCTTACGCCTGTTAAACGTAAGCGAAACATCGATACGAACGAGGAGACATGTCGCCAGTAATATCGTTGTCGTCCCAAGATCCGGGGGCGGTCGGATGAAATCATTACCATCCCGTTCGAGCTTTGTGATCAACGTGAGTGGCTGGCCTTGGTCAGCGGGCGACAGTATATTACCGACTAGCAGATCATTCGCTACCCATTGCGTAACAAGAGTGTTTCACAGAGAGCGTAACACCATCAGCTTCATTTCCTACATACAGGTTACATTTGCAATGTAACCAGATAAACCGTCCACGGCTACGGACGGCTAGCGGCGAACAAAGCTCTCAGTAACATTGTCGCGTCATGTTTATACACATATATGCACTGAGAGGGTCAGATCTCTAGGATGGCCGACGGCGGGTACCATTTCAAAGGTAGTTGAGTTACTTTAGTAGACTATATGCTCTGTAGGCGCGCTTTCATTCACGACCGCCATTGGCACCGCTTTTCAATGTCCGCCTACCATTTTCGTAACAGGAACCGCTGTTAAACGAGCATCGTTCTTCGCTGTTGTTGTTACTGCTGCCGTTCCCGAAGTGACTCGTCGTCAATTTTAGAATCGACGAATTGCCAGCTTGTAGAACGTACCCCCACCGTAGGCCGGTGCTTTTCCTAGTCTGTAACGAAGAAATGTAAGTAGGCGACATCGATCACTAATGACCTGGATTGTCTGAGAGGCTTATTGCCACGATTTTCGTTGTTACAGATGCTTCAACCACAGGCCACCCGTACTGTGACTAGTACTGTTTTACGTTGCCGCTGTATTTCAAATGTCTCATGCTTTAACTCGCGAATTCTCTCACGGGCAACGCGTAGTCCCATAGTGAAATTATTTGATGTTTTCCGGCAGTACTTTATCACCAACTACCTACAATAAGCCTACAAACGGATACAGATGGATCCATAATAAGCTAGAAAGCTATGTGCTTCTCTCTCATATGTTTGAAAGGCTTTTTTTGTTTTGTTTTTTTTTGGCATAGTTACACTTTGGACAATCGGTAAAAACAGCGATAACAACAGAAAATCAAAACCAGGCACATAGTATAAGGTTGATTTCTGGCTGTATGTAAGGCACGGTGCTGAACAAGTCCACCAGTGAAATTTTGTGGGAGGTACGCGTGAATGCGAGATTGGCCGTGCACCTTTGTCCAGAGGTCCGTCTAGTCATCGGGTCACCCGGACGCCAGCCCGCTCCGACGGAAGAAGACAGAATGCAAAACTGGACCGACAGATAGGACAACACGTCATTACTTGTCGGCGGGAAACGTTGGAAATTAGTGGAGAAAAGCAAAAGTGTGTCGCCTCGAAGCGCGGTCACCACCATCAAGAACAACAACAACAACAACGTCGAAACAATGTCAGTGGCGTACCGTGGGCTTTGACCGTTTTTTCTCGATGCCTGTAGTAGTAGTAGTAGTAGTAGTAGTAACAGAAGTAATGCAATTAGTCGCTGCCATGCCTATCTTTGACCTAGTGATCGCGCAAAAAATACACTCGACAATTTTTACCCGTAGCAGTTCACGCGAACGAAAACCGCCCAGAACCGGCATAATTTTTTCTGTCTTGAGGTAAGACTTGTCTCAACATGGCGTTAGCCTTAGCCGGAGGTCCGAATCACGTCAATCGGCTATGCAACGATTGAATTTGGCGATCGCGGCGGATCTGGCAGAGCGTAATTCGGGCTTGTTTACGGCTGTTGCCGCCGCTAGTTACGGTAACCAACACTGAACGGTAAGCGTCAAAGCATTGAGCACGCGTTCCTATTTTCCGTCGCTTGCGGCTGTTGTTTCGACGAGGTCGGAGTCGCGCAGCCGCCATCAAGCATCGCGATAGTGATGGCTAAAGCCGGTCGTATAATGACAGTCGAACCTAAGACTGTTAAGCATTTATAACTGCAGGTGGCCTTGCTTTGAGGCCTGCACCTGTCGGCGATGTAGATATTCCGTGCAATTCCAGGAAGATGCTTTCTCACTGTGTTGTTACTATTCTTTGTACGGGCTTAATCAATTTGCTTTGACTGCATTGCCTTAGAGACTCTACATGGAAATGTATCATTTTTTGAATTACTGCGATACACAAATTAGTTACATCAGTAGTAGCAAAATGGTAATATCATAGATTATAACGGCTGTTGTTGCCATTGTTGTGTCAACAAATTATTGTAAAGATGCATTTTCATCTTCGCTCTGAGTTTCGCTTCTCTCCCAATCCGATAATAACTACCAGCGTTATTTCGAAGTTTTCGTTTAAATGTATTTTCGACCTTTAATGATTTTGAGCGTCACGTACTTTTGTGCAGACACATCCGGAGATAATGGCTCTATAACGGAAACTATATGTAGACAGGGTATCGGTTTTGTTAGACAGGACCTTCACGATCACAGGACCGCGATGTGGAATTTCAAGCAATAACCAACGACAGATGGCAGCTGCTTTTCTACAGAACGCATATGAGAAATTGTCTCGCATCGATCGTCTCGCCTCTTTCGTCCAAATCAGGTTCTCAGAACTGCGTCTCAAGGCCACTTCCATCAATGGTGGAGGCTCACGTAAATATACGCTCATATATTAGCAGAACAGCGTCGGTCGCGCCAGTCGCAGAGTGGCTGATATCGAAGGGCTGCAACATATACGGCGACGATCTACATACTGCAACCCTATATCATTTATGTTACATCATTCTAATGACCACCAGCAGCTGCGGCGCTATTATGAACAATGCTACCCTATTATCGTCGTTGCGTCATCATCGTCAATTTTTTTCTTCATTATGTTCCCTATCTCGCTGGCCGCTTTGCTTTTTCCATAAGGTGCCCAGATGCCGGGAAACAGAACCAGACAGGGCCGGGTCGGCAAAATCAGCAGCGGCGACCGGCCGACCGCGTGCTGCCAGCCTGGTTCAACTGATTGCCGTAATCGCTGCGTAGCAGAATAAACGATGCGGTGCCCCTTTCTATTCTGCACGCTGCTGCTTTCCTTTTTACTTTTTGCTTGCCTGACTCGACTACTACATAGTGTCCACTGGCATAAGCGACCGCCAATGAGAGAGACCATGGGGGCAGCTTTACCCTGTTTGAATGTGTGCATTTGTGTGTAGGAGTCATTCAACATTTCACTTTTTAGCTTGCATTTGCAGCATATATGGTAGAGCTACGATGGGACATACAATGTCAATGCTACCGTTGTGAAGGCAAAAATGACGTGTCTTTGAGGGGAGTCAAGTTCTGCTATTACCATGATCGCGGTCGCTGAAACGGCGGTAGCAGCAGCATATTCTAAACTGTTCGGCGGGTCGACCACTGCCAACACTCGCAAGTGCTAGATAATACCACTAGACCAAAGCGAGATTAGACCTCACATTGCCCATATCATAGCAACGCTACGAAATAAGGAAGATAGTAAGAACAGTATGCAAGTTTCGGGTGTTTTTCTTTTTTGAAGATTTCTTTTTCCTTTAAACTTTCTTTCTTAAAGGAATAAATGTTGTTTTTCGTTCGCTTTATCCTCTTATGCTGCCCTTCGCTCTGCCCTGCTGTCTATGCCATTTCGATCCGCGAGCAGCGTTATCATCGTTACGTAGCGCTGACAGTAGCAGCAGCCCGACGGTGTGCTTGCTTCAGGGGAATCCACCGACGCTCAAGCAGTTGCTCGACGACGGACGGCCGCAACTTTGCAGAAAAAGAAAACTGATGAAAGCTGATTGACTCTCGTGGTTTGGCAAAGAATCAGTCGTCTAGAACTTTTGCGCTCTCATTAAGTGTGCGTAGATTTGCCCTTGC